GGAATTGTTCGCCACAATCTCCGGATTCCTCAACCCATCAAATCCCAACGCCTTCCCTGCTGGTCCATAGTTGTAGTTCCTGCACATATATAGTTTTAAAGTACTCAACTTCTTCTTCCTTTATACATAAAGTAAACATTAATATGTGTAAGTGAGTCTCTACCAAGAAAGTTGAATCGGTCCTCTTCCCTTGTAACTTTTGGCAGGGAAGCATGGCCATTGAGTGTTAGTGGAATCACAGTAGTTACTCTGAGGACTAATTTCTTCCTTGAAGCACAAGCCCCAAGTAAATGGGCCATCGGGTGCAGTGGCCCACCCACCGGTGGTTTCATGGGAAATCTGAGCGAGAAACGCAGCAATCTCACGCTTGCGCGTGGCTAAACAACCAGTGGTACCAAATGCAGGGAAGGATTTTGATGCAAGAATGAAGGAGTCGTAGCTGTAGAAGTCTTTAGCAGGGCATGCAGTGTCTTCTTTGTGTAGGAAAAATGAGTCAAAAAGAGTTTTTGTGATGAGAGAAGAGATGGGTATTTTGGGCTTCAACCGTGCTTCAGCTCCATAAGGTGCAGAGAAGATAATAGCAAAAGAGAAAAATAATACGGTGGAAGGAAGAATGGAAAATAATGAAGATGTCATTTGGTCACAGTGTGGTTTAGTTCTTGAAATGCAGCAGCAAGGAGCAAGGCTTTTTATAGATGTGAGGAGGGAATTTTCAGAACAAAATTTTGATTGCAAAAGGACTGATTTCCCTGATATATCAATCACATGGAATAATTATAGGTCTATTTGTCCTAAATTAATTTGGAATATTTTTAGAAAAACTTTTCTTTAGAAATAAAAGAAATAAAACTATATGAACTTTGAAAGTTAAATTTAATAAGTAATATGAATAAAGTAAGAAGGATGCTTAAGAGAGAGATTAAGAAGTATTATTCCATCGTTCTTAAAGCATCAATATAATAGTATAAAAAGGATTCATTTTTATATTTATTTAATATATAATATAAGGATAAAATGGTTATAAAAGTATGAATTTTTGTATTTTAAAAAAAAAGTAATATAAAAAATATAAAAAATTTAGATGTATAAAATAAATCATTTTTCTATAAAAAGTTACGTACAACAATTTGCTTATAACATGCAACCATTTTCAAGTGTAACTTTTTTTTATTTTTAACATAGAAGATGGAAAAGGTCAACTCTACTAGGTGGCCTGAGGTTATTTTAATGGAATTCCTTGTATTTCACTTTTAGAGGTACAGGCCTCCTTAAATATTTGTTTTCAATGTCTACTAATTAAGAAATATAGCTGACAAAATAAATTAAGTTCAATGGATTGATCGAGATACTCACCAAGTTTCTGAATTGTTTGAAAACTTATAAAATCATTTCTAAATTTTTTGGAATTAGGTTTATGGAGAACTGTGATAAATATATTTGTAGAAATATATCTATTCTAGAAATAAATTTTTATCATTTAAGCATTGTTATGTTATTAAGATATAAGTTGTATAATTAAGGATATTAGTGAAAAAGGTGATTATTTGAAAAGGTGTGAGTGGGAATTGGGAGAAAATTCTAGGCAGTTAAGGGAGCACTTCTTGAGGTGGAAATGAGTGCTGACATAATAAGCCATTCAAAACATGGATTTAGATATTATTATTAGCCTGCAGCTTTGCCCACAATTGCCAAAAAAAAAATTAAATATATTTATTTGCATAAAAAATAGGTGAATAAGACAAGAGAAGAGAATATGCACAAACTTCATTTTCTAAAAGATTAAGTGATGACAAAGGGTTTTTTGGGTAATGACTCAGTGCCCTTCCCACCAAATGAACCAGGGTCGACCTTTGACTTCCCTCCATCTATATATGCAATAATTGCGGAGCCATTTTAGTTATAAGTAATACCAAAATATAGTATATATGCAATCGTTTTAATTTATTTTTAAGTGCTTATAGTTTTGTTAGATTTTTTAATTTCATTTATTTTGTGTATTCTTGTTTTATTTATTCACTCTCTTCAAATTTATTTATTTGTTAAATATTGTTTTTAGTTATTACTATAGAAACGCAACATGATTTAAAGAAGAATAAAACTGAAGTTGAAAAAGAGAAAAAATACCGATAGAGTTCCATATGAAAGTAAAAGTGACATGGGAGTGCGAGGATCCGTAAATATAACTCCTTCTATAGTAAATTCATCAGAGACATATTTGGCATCACAAGTAAAATTTGGGGTGGGGTGGGTGTAGAAAAATAGAAAGCAATAATCCAATTATGATAGTATCACAGATTAGCCCATTTGATTGAACAAATTGTTTGCGACATTCACTTGATTCCCACTCCATTCAGTTACATTTACTAACCGAAAGGGTTGCTCCCCAACTTTCCCCACCCCAATATTTACATAATCTTCAGATAAATTTTACTTTCTTAAATTAACTAGTCCTAGTTTCGTACATCTTCCACCCAGCTTTTCTCGTTTTTAAACCAATCCTTTTACGCTTGCTTCCTCATTTAAAAATACTTAAAATAAATAAATAATAAAATTTCCAAAATAAATACAAAACTAAATAAAACTAACTTACGAGGTGTTCACCATTAAATCCGACTAACGGATTAATCGTGATTACATTGTGAGGATTGCTCGTTGAAGGATGCAAGGTTCGTTTTAGTAGAGATTGAACAACTTGGAGACACAGCACCACTAATCAGAAGATGTGATCTTTCCCCCCCATCTTGCAACTTTAAAAAAATGATTAAAAGAAAAATATTACCATTAGGCCTAGTTTTAAAGTGAATGGTAATAATATAACTAAAATTACTTAGGCATATATGGGTGGAAATGGGTGGGACACCTCTACCGGAAATGATTCATGATTTCCTTTGCAGCCATTTAAATGAAAGCATTCCAAAACACAACACCAACACTAATAAAATATGAGTCTAATTTATATGAAATATTAATATTATCTTAATAAAAAATTTGCAAAGCAATAATTCTATAATTTGTTTTCTTTATATAATATTTGGCTTTCTTGTATAGTATAGTGAATTGTTAAAAAAAAAAAAGAAATGAAAAGTGACATTTGATGAAATAAAAATGGAGTAGAGAGTTGAAAATGGGGGTACTGTACATAAGGAGTTGCTAGGTTTTTGAAATGTTGTAGCATGGACTGACCTCCCTATATTAAGTGTGGTCCAACACGAACCGACTTTTTAGGTTCAAAAAGTCGCCACCCTAATTGCTATATGACCCATTGCAAGATTACAAACATTTATTCCTTTAATTCTTATAAATAAATCAATTAGATCCTTAATTTTTATTTGGTTCTGGTTCAATTTAGTGCTTTAGTTGTTAAAAATGATTACAATTAGGCTTTTAGTTAATTGATGTTAAATTTTAATTTTTTTCATAAAGTTGACTATTTTTAAGTAAGTCCTTGTAAAAAAAATATACGTATTAACTATCTAAAACTATTATATATTTTTAATTGAGTTTTCATTATCAATTTTTTGATTTTGTAATCTCAAACAGAATATAAAAACTTTGACAATAATATAAAATGAAATTCTATAACCTTAATTAATTATCTTTATAAAAAAAACAATGTTTGGTTATATATGTGCAAACATTAAAACACGTTTTAACTTGTTTAACTTTTATTTTAGTATTTAACTTAAAAAAAACAATTTTTAGTTTAGCATTTAATTTTAAAAAATGTAACAATGTCACTTTTTTTTATTATGAAGTAGTGTTATAGAAGTTGATTTTTGTTGTTATCTAAATTATGATGCTGTGGTTGAAATACAAAATCAAACAATCATATTTTATTTATCTTCAAAATAAAACAATACAAACTTGATAAGAGCTAACATGATGTTATTTGGAACTAGCTGAAAAAATATATAAATTTTAAATATTCAATAAATAAGTTTTTTAAAAAAAATATTAATTAAGAATATTTAAATTTATGAGATATTTAAATTTGATAATTTTTTATTTTTCATACACAAAGAATACATCAAGAATCCAAGGGTAAGAATCATATCATGCTATTTAAAAACATAATCAATAAAAAAACTTTTAAACAGTGAATAAAGTAAAAGTATTTTTTAATAAAAGCTAAATATTCGTTACGAAAGAAGTTAAAAATGGTTTTGAATTAGTTGAGTTTTTTTCTCCTTTATCTCTCCCGCATTCTAAACTTGGTCAGAGATGCACGTATGCCATGCGTGTGCTGACATCATCTTCTATACATCGATCCATCTTTGCCTCAGAAAAGTGGAAAACTTATCAAACTTATTAATTTTTATTTATTTAAAACATTTTAAAAATACTTCAGTCAATTTACATTTACAGAGACTCAGGAAAATTACTTACTAATTTAGACGAGCAAAATCCTGACTGTACAAGCAAAAACGCTCGCTTAATATTTGTGGTGCTAGCTAGTATAAACTTAATGCTTCATAATAAGAGATTAAGAGTCTATTAGTCTATAATAATAATTATTATTATTTAATTATTATTATTACTATTATTATGAAAGGGTGAATTGAGAAGGAGCGAAGTAGCAGCTACTGACATACAGGTGAAGTTTGGGTTCGACTTTGATTCTTTTAAGATTGAAGGTGCGGCCAAAATCCTACTGATATTGAATAACCGAAATATAGTAATGAATAAAAATATTAAAATAACAATAAACAAGACTAAATTCAAAGATTAAGAAAGAAGGAAATTTGTAGAAATCATTAAAATAATAAAATTAATTAGAATGTTATGATTTAATAAACTGAAAAAAAATAATTCTGAAACACGTTTTTATCAGTGTATATTGAAGTGTCGCGTCGGTTTACTTTGACTAGGTCTTCCCATTTGTTCTTGCAGACGACTACAATTTTCTAAAACTTTTTTTCTCCTTTTCTAATATATTTTCTATGAATTAAAATTGATTAGAAGTCAAAAAAGTTTAATTCAATAAAAATTTATCCTTATATTATAAGGAAATGGATTTGATTGATGTAATTATATAAAATAAAAATAAAATTAAGTTTTTTTTTAAGAAGACGACAATTGGTATTAACCACATAAATTTAAAGACAAACAATTAAACAGTAATTATAATAAATAAAAGAATAGAATTATAAATAAAGTCCTTTTATTTAAGAAATTGAGAGCAGAAGAAAGAGTTTTAAATGAAAATAGATTCTTAAAAAGTATGACTAATTTGGAAAAAAATTTGTGGTCTGAAAGTGGCATTTAATGTTTTGAGCATCACTTTCAAGATAGAGGTTTTGAAAGCCCTAGTCGTGCAGCAACTGCAACGTTTCACGGAATGCAGGTCTTTCCAATTTGTCTACATTTGACTCCAAGACATTAAATTTCTCAAGAAAACACCCTCTTCAATATTCCTCACCACTCCACCATTTTCCACTTTATCATAACTCCAAAATTAATCCATGGTCCATTCTAAATGCAATTGAATGGACTGCCTTATAAAATCATATTCATTTATCTCTTATATAATAACTACTTGCTGCTTATTTCAAACTAATGCAAAACCAACTTATAGTGTTTTAGAGTTTTATTTTAAATTTGCTTTAAAGCTATATATAATTTTAAAAACAGATTTAAATTATAAACAGGTTTTAAAAATTTGAGTCAAAGAAATGTTGAACTCGACTTAGATG